AAAGCGGCCGGAGCGATCATCAGGGCAAAACCCACGACCATCATCATCAGCGACAACTTAGCGAGCTTCTTGTTCATTTTCTTCTTGGTCCTTTCTTAGCCTCTCGAATCGGCAGCCTTCGCCGCCGTGTAACTTCTGTTTAAACCGTCTCCCCACATGAGGCTTGGTGAGGAGACGCCGGCCGTTCGGCCTAGAGCTTCTAACGTCAAATCGTCCTAAATCCCCTGGCTTTCCAGGGCGACCAGGTTTTAGTGGTGCTCGTCGTGGTGCACGTTCACCGACATGCCGATGAACAGCGTGGTCAGGTAGGTGAAGATAAACGCCTGTAAGAAAGCGACGAATATCTCCAACATGTTGACCGCAACGCCCGCGATCACGAGAACGATTCCGATGCCTCCGCCGGCAGCCGCGCCGAGCGCCTGCCCCGACATGAGGATCATCATCAAGAGAACGGCGAGCAAGACGTGACCCGCGACCATATTGGCGAATAGACGAACCGCCAGGGCAAAGATCTTAGCGATCAGACCCATGACCTCCACAGGAATCATCAGCGGCGCCATCCAGATGGGACCGGGCGAGAAGTGAGCCAAATAGGCTTTTCCGCCGTAGCGCAGGCCGTTTACGACCATCAAGATCATGACCATGATCGCCAAAGTCGAGGTGACCCAGATATTTCCGGTAGGTGTGCCGCCGATATGCAGACCGGTCAACATCGGAGTGACCGCGGCCAAGGGCAGCAGACCCAGCACATTCATGGTCAGCACAAAGAAGAAGGCCGACCAGATGAATTTGATGAATTTGTCGGCGTGCTCGCCCAAGTGAGGCTCGGCCACCTCTTTTCGCCAGTACTCGCAAACCATCTCGACGAACGCCGCAAAGCCCTTCGGCACCAGAGAAGCCGTACCTTCAGCCCCTTGGCGTTTGCGGGCGAGGGCCGGAAATACCAGGCACAACAAGAGGGCGCCGAGGATCATGATCACGATCTGATCGCTCAGAACCGTCACCACACCCTTTGGAGTCAAAAGGGTGCCCAGGTCCATCGGCACCTGTTTGATCGGGTGCGGGACCACATGACTGAGCGGGTTATCACCCGAAGCTTCGAA